ACTTTTTACCTGCACAAGTTGATAAAATCTACAGTTTAACATCCTGACTTACCGGCTGTCCATGGAATAACTTGTAAAGATCGACAACCTCCACTCCAAGCTTTTTTCCCACATCTACACATTTTTCAGCAAAACATTTTACCTGCCCATCGCAAAGGCTTACTGGTACATCTTGTGGAGACAATTAACAATCATTGTATTAATCATTCACGTGTAGTCAAAATCTCTGAGAAAGAAACCCCCAGGCTCAGAATCAACTAATTTCTATCAAGAACAAAAATAGTCCAAAAAATGACAGACTAATTTGAATAATAATAATTGTCTGGCAGTGGATATGTGATGAGAGGATTTCCATCTCCATTTCCAACTTTTGGTAAAATCATATAAAATTAAAAGAAAAATGTATATTTATTTAGTTATCATTTTTCCTCTCTGAGGAAATTTCTTTTACTCTTTGAACCCTACGAGAGACCAGCATCAAATTTCTCCTAACGACAGTGCTTACAATAGTACAGTTACTTACCAAGTTCTGCACAAAATTTCTTGTATTTATTATCCACTACTGCTGGTGGTGTCAATAAAACAAGTTGACTTGCTTCTATCCCATCATTCATAAATTGCATCAAGATGTCTGTTAAGTTCGTAGTATACTGTTCTACAGTAAGTCCCCGTGGATCCGTTTCATTGCAAACAGCATCATTAGAACCAAGTAGCACAATTGCCGCCACAATACTACCCTTGGGATTATTGTCACTCTGAAGGACTTGGGGCAGAATAAGCTTGTTATAAGCTGATGTGTAACCACTGAATCCACGATTAACAACATCACATTTCCTGTTGATAATAATAAACCAAGACTTAACAGACAAGAGACCAGCACGAACACGAAAGCTACGGCTACTTTGGTCACTGTGCACACATATACAAACCAGCATGATGTCTACTTCTCATTATCTTCTTCACCGAGTTATATAAGTCATCTTATACTGTATTAATTTGAATACTGCGAAATAAACTTGGAAACTTGGAAAGTTGAGATGAGATTTCAGTAAAATATAAATTAGGTTGATTATCTTCTTCACCTAGATATATAAGTCATCTTATACTGTATTAATTTGAATACTGCAAAATAAACTTGGAAACTAGGAAAGTTGAGATGAGATTTCAGTAAAATATAAATTAGGTTGATTATCAGTCGATCCAATACCAAATTCTCTGAACTAACATCATAAGAATTGTATGGCAGACAGTAAGGAGAATTACTAGTGAGATCTTGGGAGGTCAGTATCAGAGCAGCTGCACACCCACCCCCCCCCAACTCAACATTAACCCTTAGTTGTTTATAGTTGACTGTTGTTAGGTTATGACAGGAGTGGGTGCACAGTTCATGTTTTGAAATGGACCTTGGTCCACAAGACTCTGCAGCAACAAAATGACATTTCAATTCTCTTCACTTATGAGATATCACTTAGCAAATGATCACAAAAGTTAGCTTTGTAATCCTCAGCTATGGGATCCAGTGTAGAGGCTGTAACGAAAAGGTATACTGTAAATCCTCTTATAAGCCCACTGGGAGGCTTATTTATTTCAGGTACTTTGGGGGGGTGGCTTATTAGAGGGGGTTGGCTTATAAGA